GCACACCTTTAATCCCAGCACTGGGAGGCAGAGCCAGGTGGATCTCTGAGATTTCGAGGTCAGTCTGGTCTACAGAGCGAGTTCCGGGACAGGCACCAAAACCACACAGAGAAACCCTGTCTCAAAAAACCAAAAAAAAGGGCAGGTGGATCTCTGTGAGTTCGAAGCCAGCCTGGTCTACAGAGCGAGCTCCAGGAAAGGCGCAAAGCTACACAGAGAAACCCTGTCTTGAAAAACCAAAAAGAAAAAAAAAAAAAGAAAAGAAAAGAAAAGCCCATGCCTATATTGACAGACAAATAAAAATGCATATAAATGCTCCCATCTATTTTGGCAGACAAATAAAAATGCACACAAATATCTAGCCTATACTTTGGTAGAAACCAAAGACTTTAAAGAGGCCAGTGACGGTTTGGGCCCTCTGGGTGCCCCTGAGATCACACATGGAGAGATGATCCCGCAGAGATACAATCAAACCACTATTTTACTCTTCTGCGTCTTTTCAACTAAAGAAAGCCATTCTACTTCCGGCATCTTACCATGGTAACTGGAGCTGAAACCTTGTTTCCAAGTCTCCATTCTCTTCTTTCCCCTCAAAGGGCCCTGGCTTTCACAAAAGCCCCCCTTCAAGTTAAAATACAAGCCCTGCAAGGAGAAACCGGCAGAGTCCTCCCAGACAACACCGTTCCACATCCCCGCAGCCTCCACCTGCTGGGTCCACCTGTTGCTTACCTGTCCCCGCTCTCACCTTGCTGGCTAGCGAGCAGGTAGTGTTTGCTTTTTCTCCTGGTTTCCTTCGCAGCCCTCGGTGCCCTTCTTCCTCCTGCCTTGCTGCAAGGTGGGAACTGTAGTTCCGGTCCCTGGCGTCGGGTTTGGTGGCCCGAGAAAGCGAAAGGGAAAGAAGGGCAATCCCTCCCACCTGCAAGGAGCCTGAAGCCCTAGGTGAGGTGCCGGCTAGTGCCGGGTCTAGCGTACACAGCTGGTTTACGTGCCAGAATTGGTCCGATCAGGAGAAAGCCCAGAGAGGAACTACCTTTCGCTCAACTGACACCTGTTAAGCTGCCCTGTTCCGTTTTCCGCTCTGCATCCTTCATCCTACATCCTGCCTGATACGCTTGCTTGTTTTTTTTTTTTGGTTGGGTATTAACTGAGATGACATCGACTTAAAGAAGGACATTGATCTGGGTCTTGAGTGACTTGTTTTGAGAAGTCACTGGAAGAAAGGAGGTGCTCAAGTAGCTTAAAAAAGTAAATCAAGGGCCCATAAGATGTCTCAGTGGGTAAAGGTGCCTGCTGCCAAGCTTGAAGGCCGGAGCTCAATCCCCAGGACCCAACTAAGTTGTTCTCTGACTACACGTACATGCACAAACACATGCACACAGGAAAAATAAATAAATGTAAAAAAAAAAATCTCCAAACCAAACAAACGAAAAGCCCCTGAATTAAAAGAACATAGAGCAGTTGGGGATTTAGATTCATGATAGAATACTTGCCTAAAACAATAAATAAAATAAAGATGCCTTCCTGCATACAGGGGTGTGTGTGTGTGTGTGTGTGTGTGTGTGTGTCTCAAAAGGTCTACCACACGGCAGAGACTAATTTTTTTTTAAAGATTTATTTATTTATTAGGTATACAGCATGTGTGCCTGCAGGCCAGAAGAGGGCACCAGATCTCATTACAGATGGTTGTGAGCCACCATGTGGTTGCTGGGAATTGAACTCAGGACCTCTGGAAGAGCAGTCAGTGCTCTTAACCTCTGAGCCATCTCTCCAGCCCCTGAGACTAATTTTTAAGAGTGAGAAAACTTAGAATTGATTAGTCCTCGATGCTGTCAATAGGAGCAAAGATCTGAGATGATTTTTTCCCCTATTTCCACCCAAAGAGTCTATCAGTTCTAGACTGCATCAGTTAAGCACTTCTCAGAGCCTATTGTAAGAACTAAATCTTCAAGCTGGAGAGATGGATCAGTGGATAAGAACTTGCTGCTCTTCCCGACGACTTGAGTTCAGTCCCCAGCATTCATGTCATGGAGCCCTGACACATGAGACGATTGTCCCCTGTTTAAGAGCACTGTGTCTCTGATGCCTTCAAATAACCTCTAAGTTGAGACTCATCTTACCCCAAATTGCACCCACACAAGGACTTTCAGGAGTATCTCTTTGAAGCAAGGTCACTCAAAGCTGGGACACTGTCGAAGGCTGCTGCTGCTGCCTCTGGTTTTGAGAGTCACTCTAACATGTGTGACTTGGAAACTGGATATAGGTCAAGATCTGCCACAAATGCGTGGGCTGGGGCAGGAAACAAGGCCCTGCAAAGTCGCTGTCATTGAGGAGAGCTGCAAATGTTTCTTTCTTGCTTTTGGTAATGATTATTGTTAAAAACAAAGTCAGTTGACTCAGACCCAGCCCACATTGCACACTGGGAGAGCACCTGGAGGTGGAAATGGAGTGTTAAAATAGCCTGCTGGATGCCTTTCCACCTCATTTTGATTTTTTTAATTAATTAATTTAAATTTTTTATTTATGTGAATGAGTTGTGTGTGCGTGTGTGTGTGTGTGTGTGTGTGTGTGTGTGTGTGTGTGTGTACGTGTACCTGAGGAGACCAGAAAAAGGCATAGGATCCCTCAGAACTAGAGTTATGGCAGGTTGTGAGCTGCCTGATATGGGTGCTGGGAACTGAACTTGGGTCCTATAGAAGAACAGCAATTGCTCTTAACCACTGGACCCCAGCATCTCATCTCCCTTTCTACTTTATTTATTATTTATTTATTTGTTTGGAGCTGAAGACCGAATGCAGGGCCTTGCACTTGCTAGGCAAGCGCTCTACCACTGAGCTAAATCCCCAACCCCTCTATTTCATTTTTAAATCCACGAAAGAAAAAACCGAAATGCGTACAATTTGGAAGTCCACTCACTCGTTTTGCTTTTCGCCTACCTGTTTGTAACGGAGGCACTTCCATTGGCAACCTAGATGGATATGTTCCCTCCCTTACCTGAGTCTCCCTTCTTTTTTAATTTGTTTATTTATTTTAATTTATTTTATTTTACTGTGTAAGGTGTTTTCCTTGCACATACGTCTGTGCACCATGTGCGTGTCTGGTGCTGGAGGAGGTCAGGAGAGGACATTAAATCCCCTGGAGTTATAGACAGTTATGAGGTACCATGTAGGTGCTGGGATTGAACTCAGGTCCTCTGGAAGAGCAGCCAGCTCTTCATCCCCTCATTGTCCTTTTCCTGTGCACCCTGAGCTGTACAAACATTCTGATGTCTCTCTCTGTGTTGGGGTTTGGGTGACCCTAAGGCCACTTTAGCTCCTTGCTTCTACCTCTCCTCTGCTGGGGGATCTTGTTACTGTGGCTTCAGTTTTCCTAACCAGAAGCCTTCAGGCTTTTAGTAAGTCTTGACTAAAAGTTGGTGTGCAAGTCAAAGGAAGTTTGACCAACTTCACCAATGCCATAAGAGTAACTGTGAAATGAACCTGGTTCAGGAGTGCCCCAGAAAACAACATTTGCCATGTTTGACCACTGTGGCAGGAGTTCCTGCAGAGCTTGGCAGCTGGTTTGACTCCCAGAGTGTTAGCACCTGGGCCTGGAGCTACCTTTTGTGACTGCTACCTTTTGTGTCCGAGACCTTCGGTTTGAAGTATGTAAATCTTGTATGAGAGTTCCTGAAAGGTTCAAAGCCTATGCAAAACTTGGTTGTGGGAGGACTCAGAAACTGAGCTGTCCTGTAACTAGGAATTGCTTTGGCATTTGTCTTTTTGGGGAGCTTGAGATAAGAGGTTTTGGTATGTGGAAGTTGACTTGCTAGGGTGTAAACTGTGTAACAATAAAAAAGCCTCTGCAAAGTTACAGTCAGTCAGTTCTCCAGGGGCTGAGTTCATAGAGTGACCTTGTTTCTTCCACGAACCCGAGTGAGCCAAACGTCTGACACAGTAGACCACATGGAGGTGTTTCTGGAGCATGCTTAGATGCCTGTTTTGTTTATCATGATTTTGGGATTCCTGCTCTGAGTGTTTAAAGTATAAGGAAGCGCTCTTCTTATTATCTGGTCTTGGACAACCTGCAAAAGGAGATTTGGTGATGGCAGTGGCATCTTTCTCCTCTTCTTCCTTTCTTTCTTTTCTTTTTTTTTTTTTTTTTTTTTTGGTTTTTCAAGACAGGGTTTCTCTGTGTAGCCTTGACTGTCCTGGAACTCACTTTGTAGACCAGGCTGGCTTTGAACTCACAGAGATCCACCTGCCTCTGCCTTCCGAGTGCTGGGATTAAAGGTGTGCGCCACCACAGCCTGGCCCCCTTTCTGTTTTTATTTATGTGTTTATCTATGCGTGAGTGTTTGCCATGTGTGTGCAGTGCTCATGGAGGCCAGTTGAGGGCGACGGGTCATCTGGAGCTGGAGTGGTTGTGAGCCACCATGTGGGTGCTGGGAACCAAACCTGAGTCTCCTGGAAGAGCAGCCAGTGCTCTCAACTGCTGAGCCATCTCTCCAGACTCATTTTAAAAATGGACTGATTTATTTATTTAATCATCTCTCCAGCCCTGCTGCTGGGAATCTTAATATGCATGGTTTATTTTGGTGGTGTGTTGACAGGGTGTATGCGAATACTGACAGGTAAATGTTCCTACCTATATGGACAACTGCATTTAATTAAACAAAAATCTAAGGCAGAATAAAACCTCCTTTGGAAAAAATGGTTAGCCTACCAGTTCTTCTCAAATTAGATCGCTCACTCATTGCCCTTTTCAGCTGACATTTCTGGCCATCCTCCCTGCCGGCAGGAGTCCAGTTAAACCCAATCGGCCGACTCCGCACCTCGCAGGTGAAGCGGCACTGGCGGACTACAGCTCCCGGCATGCCCCTGTGTGCTCGGTCACGTGAGCGTCCGGAAGCTCTGGCCACATCGCGCTGGGTGAGGTGGCGGCGGGGGCGGCGGGCAGCGGAGTCTAGCGGAGCCGGTACTTCGGCGGGTCTCAGGTGCGAGCCTGCGTGCATCTGGGTGCTTAGGGCCCTGGCCCGGCTGGGTGCGCGGGGACTTCGGGCGCGGGAGGCGCGGGCAGCTGGTGGGTGTGGCGGCGCGGGCACGGCTAGCCGCTGGACCCCACCGGACCCCACCGGAGCTCCCGATGCCGCCGCCGCCGCCGCTGTGCCGTCCTGAGGCTGTGTGCACCGCAGGGGGAGGAGGACACCCGAGAGCGAAAGTGGCCAGCCCAGCCCATGTGGACGCCCCGGCCGAGGGGGACTTGTACCCCTCGGACCACCGGTCCTTTGGCCTTGGATCATGGGACATTGATCTGAAGAAAAATGAAATCCAAGAAGAGGGCTCATGGTTTAGCAAGAGGAGGGCCACGTTTTAGATAGGGTGGGAGGCTTTTGGGTAGGATGCACCGAGGTCAGAGAGGAAGAACGGACTTCGTGGAGAAACTAGGCTTTTGTTTTCCAGTAACTACCAGAACTCAGTTGAGGAATTCGGCTGTTACTTATTCGTCATTCTTTGGCTCTTCTTATTTGCAGAATGTGGCCTGTCCTTAATTTTGATAGGGACAGTGGAGATGTGTCCACTTAGTTTTAATGTTTCCTGAAATATGTTAGGCGATGTCGTGCTAACTTACTGAAACGTTTAGAGGGAGCAGATGCCAGGGCGAGCCAAACCAGACTCGTAGTTGCTGGCCTCTTCAACCATTGCTTGCTATCTTCACACACGTTTCTGTGTTTACGGAATCATCGCCGATGAAAAGAGCGCCTTCACTTCTTTGAGGTTAGATTATTTCTCCGCCATTTGCCAGATGTTTCCTGTATGACAGACTCGGCCCTGAAAACCCAGTAAATCGTTTCATTTAAACCTTAAGTGAGGAAATTGAGCCTCAAAGAAGTAAACTAAATGAACTTGGACTTTTCGTGTCAGAGCAATGTGTGGTCGCACTCTGCTTTCAGGAGCAAGATCAGTGTTCGTTGTCTAAGGTTCTGGATGGGTGCCTGTTCATCAGTGAGATGGCATGTCATTGCAGTGACCATTGGCATGGTTAGTGCTTTGTCTGGAGGAGGGAGGAGAAAGCAGTTGTCTTTGATTGATGTGTCCAAAAATAGAAAATATGTGATCGTAGGAACCTAGGATGTGGTTTTAGGGACCATGAAACAGATAGCTAGGTCCTTAAACATCTGTGATAATGAGTCAGTTTTAAGAAAAAAGGAGCCGGGCGGTGCCTTTAATCCCAGCACTCGGGAGGCAGAGGCAGGTGGATCTCTGTGAGTTCAAGGCCAGCCTGGTCTACAGAGTGAGTTCCAGGACAGGCTCCAAAGCTACACAGAGAAACCCTGTCTCAGAAAACAAAAAGAAAAAAGGATTACTAGATTTGCTGTGTGTGTGTGTGTTTGTTTGTTTGTTTGTTTGTTTTGACAGATGTCATGTAGTCCAGGTCACCTCCATCTCCCTGTGTAACTGAAGATGACCTTGAACTTATGATCTTCCTAACAAGTGCTAGGGTTGCTAGTGTGTACTACCATGTCAGATGGGTGTGTGCTGGTCAAGCAATCTACCACTGAACTAGACCCTGCTTTTAAGTAAGGTTCTCAAATCAATGTGCACTCTGCCTGTTTTTGAGACAAGGGATTGCCTGTTTGTAATCCAGTCTGGCCTCAACTTTGGGATCTTTCTGCTGGGATTATAGGAGTACATACCTGGGTAGGCTTGAGTTTTTGAAAAGAGAAGAGATGGTACCGGTAAATAGCTTCTAGATAGAGGAGAGGTCAGAAAGATACTTTGTAAGTGCTGAGTGTTGGCATGCACAGTACTGTGAAATCGCCAAACTCAACGATCCATCTCGGGTTTTTCACCCCACCAGTACTTTGAGTACATATAATCATTTTACTTTGCACACATAAGAACTAAATCCTTGAAGGGTCAGATGATTGCCAGTTCTGTATGTTTGAGGGTTTAAAGGAAATCACATTTGTTTATAAGTTGGACTTTTCTCATCCTCAACTACATACCAGTGAGTTTAAGCTGTGGTAATTCTAATTATGTTTTACGAAGCCTGGGATGTTTTCTCTTAACTTTCCACTTACACAATATAATATGGAGTCTAGTTAGGTCTGGATTTGAATGTTTATTTTGTTCCTCAAGAGAGATTACTTTCTGATACATGTTTCTCATCTTAAAACTACCTGGAGAGCTATGATTATATATGCAAAGACCCTATCAGGGTGCTGGGCGAGGGTGGCATAAGCCTTTAATTTGGGAGGCAGAGGCAGGCGAATCTCAGTGAGCTCAAGGCCAGCCTGGTCTCTGTCTACACAGAGAGTTCCAGGACAGCCAGGACTACACAGAGAAACCCTGTCTCAAAAAAAAAAAAAAAAAAAGAGAGAGAGAGAGAGAGAGAATAATTGGCAAAGTATTTTCTTTTTTAAAATTGGTCTAAGTGCTCTGGGAGGTCCTGGGGATACAGCTGTGGACTTAGGACAGAGAAAGACACCTTTTTTTTTTTTTTAAATGGAGTTTATAAATGAACAATAAACTTGTAAATCATTAAAGAAGTAGAAATGGGAATAGAAACCTTTTTATTTATTTATTGGTACAGGGACTTGAACTCGGGGCCTTTCATATGCTAGGCAAGTGCTCTGCCACTGAGCCATATCTAGCTCTATTTTATTTTTGTTTTGAGGCAGGATCTGAGTGTCGCCCAGGCTGTCATCTGTTACTGCACTTTGTAGTCCAGACCACCCTTGAAATTGCACCTTCCATGTTGGCTTTATCTCCATGCCCAGTGTGTCTATTGTTTTGAAATGAAGTCTTGTTATGATGCTGACCTTGAACCTCTGGGTTCTCAAGCAATCTTACTTCCACCTCCCTCATAGCTGGGGCAGTGTGCTGCAGTATCCTGTTTGTTCTTTTTGAGGGGACTTTTTTTTTTTGTCCTCTAAAGATAGGGTCTCACTGTGAAGCCCTGACAGGCCTGGAACTAACTTGCTTTGTAGACTAGGCTGACCTCAGACACACAGAGATCTGCTCACCTCTGCATCCCGATTGCTGGGATTAAAGGTGTTTACCACCACACCTGGCCCCAAGTATTTTTGATGAGTGGTCAGAGTAGCCTCTGGGGAGGTGACATCTGAGTAATGAGCCAAAAAGAGGGAGGAGCAAGCTTTTGTAAAGAACCAAGAGAAAAGCACAAAGGCCCAAAGGAGATGGCTTGGTGGGTTCAGGGACTGGAGATGGGGGTAAGGTTAGGGACAGGGACGAGGGGGTGGAGAGGGGGGAGGAGGGGAGGAGGCCGGGGGGGGGGGGGGGGGGGGGGGACGACAAAGAGTAGATTGTGGCCTGGTAGAGAACTGGAAGCCCTTCAACCTCCCAGTGGGGGACTGGTAAAACAGATAGAGATTTGTTCACATAATGGGAACTGTACATGCTTAGAAGCAGCAGGTGGGTAGGTGCTGGGAAAATAGATTGCTTCTGCTGGTGAGGAAGAAAAGGTACTGAATTGTGTGTGTATGTGCTTAGAAGTATGTTTGTCTAAAGGGGCTCTGCTTGGGGTGAATGCAGAGATGCAGAATCTGCAGGAACAGGAGAGGAACTAATCAGATAGGGTGTTTGGAGAAGGGGATGGGGGTGAGAGTTTTGCTATTACTATCTACCCTTTTAGATCTTTCAATGTTCTGCTGTGTGCTTTGGATTCGAGGTATCTTCCTGCAAAGCATTTGTTGACGTTGTGATCAGCAGGCGCTTGTGATCACCAGGCGGTTGTGATCAGCAGGGGGCGTTGCCATCGAGTGTGATTGCATCGGTAGGATGCTGACTTCATCACCGGCTAAACTCCTGATGGATTCAGTAGGCTGCCCGGAGGCCAGTCTTGGTGGAAGTGGATCATGGGCGCCTGCTTTGAAGGGTTTGTCTTGACTTTGCCCTTCGCTTCCTTAGCTGCTGTGAGGTGAGCATTTCCCCCTTGCCATGGGCGCCTGCTTTGAAGGGTTTGTCTTGACTTTGCCCTTCGATCCCTTAGCTGCTGTGAGGTGAGCATTTCCCCCTTGCCATGGGCGTCTGCTTTGAAGGGTTTGTCTTGACTTTGCCCTTCGATCCCTTAGCTGCTGTGAGGTGAGCATTTCCCCCTTGCCATGCCCTTTCGCCTTGATGTTCTGCCATCGGCCCAGAGTCAGTTGAACCGAGTATGGAGTGAGGCCTCTGAAGCTGTGAGCCAACGTAAATCCTTCTCTTAAGTCTTTTGCGTCAGGTATTTGTCTCAGTGATGGGCAAGCTAACGTATCTGCCTTGCTCATCTATTACCAATTGGAAAGTAAAATACAACAACTTTCCAGCATTCCAGCTCAGTCATCTATGCAGGCAGACCAGACCAGCCCCAGCTGTTCCCTACCCCTTGATCATGCTCTTTTCTTACAGGGAACTAAGGCTGGGAGGGTTCTGCAAAGACTTTGTTGTTGTTTTTATCTGTCTTTTGGAAAGCCATCAAAAGGTCATGAGCAGAAGTTGATTCATCCACTTTTTTTTTTTTTTTAAATGGGGCTACAGATGAACCTGGGGCCTTGTATATCTTATCCTTGCAACATAATGGTAGCCTACATTATTCGTAGCAACATAATCGTAGCCTTGATTTATGAGTTTTGGGGACAGAGTCTACATAGCTAAGGCTGACCTCAGAATCAACAGTAGTCCTGCCTCAGCCTCCTAAGTGCTGTTTACACATGTGTGTGCCACCCTGCCTGGTGGTGGGATTGATGTTATAAAATGTAGTGTGTGAAGAATCATTTGGGGGTGCTGTGAAGTAGAGGGAGCAAAATCCTGTTAGAGTTGGCAGGTGGTAGATGAAGGTAGATTGTCTCAGGGTGGTGGCAGGGGAGTAATTGGGGTGTATTTGGAGGTAAAAAGGACTGCATTTAGTAAGGAGCTGGGTGTGGAAGCTCAAGAGAAAGGGGAAAAAGGAGAATTAATCCTGTTTACTTTGTCCACAGGAGGGATGGCAGTGTTATTTCTGAAGTGAGGAATAGATCTGGAGGAAATAGATCCCATTTTAGATCTGTGGAGAGATACCATGTAGTCAGTTGGGACCCTGGAGTGTCAGGGTTAGTGGCCTAACAGAGAGGCATTGGTCTAAAGCCACAGGACTGGGTGACAGAGCAGAGAAAGATCCTGGGAGTTTAGAAAGGGAAGGGAGAAAGCGCTGTCTCGGAGGCTGAGAAGGCGGGGTTGTTAGGGAAGTGTGGGAGCCTTGCCAGACAGTGCTGCTTGCCCCTTTGAGGTTTGTGGTTTGAATCTGAAGTCAGCCGGTGGCTCGTGTGATTTTTCTCTGACAGAGCTCAGCTGTGAGGATACAGGGAAGGAAGTGGGCCAGGCCTGGGAGAAGAAAAGACTCACTGGGGAGATGGCCTGTAATCTGGTAAGGAAGTGTGGGTAAAGGGGAGGAACGTGGTTTGAGTGAAGTGAGTGTTGGGGCTTGAAGTAGCCACGGCAAGCACTCTGGAAGGCAAAGCACTCTGGAAGGCAAGGGTGGGAGCTGGTGACAGCCCGAGTTCGCCCTTGGAGTGAAGTTTCTCGGGGACACAGGGAAAGGATAAGTGAAGAAGATGGAGGACTGCAGAGGGGCTTAAGGGGGTGCTTACCTCTTCCGGTTGGCTGCTTGAATGCCCGAACGCAAAGGGGAAGGAAGGGCCTGTGAACAGGAGCTGCCCAGTGTGGAGGCCAGCGCTGGCAATCAGAGAATTCCAGAGGGAAATGGTGGTAAAGCTGCTCTGGGACATGGTGGGCATGGA